ATGAAAACTGACATTGATTCTTAAGGAGTTTTGGGTTTGTTTTTTTTTTTTTTTTAGATTTACATTATTAACAAAAAAGTGGCTCTTGATTTAGCAGCTCTGTGTGAGATGTACAGTCAGAGAATAAAGGCTGTCAGGGGACCTGTGGATGACAAAAGTGAGATGCCAGAGAGCACCTTGGAAATCCCACCCAGCCTGGGTCCACCCACCCAGCTCCTGCTGGGCTCTCCCAGGTGCTGGGAGTTCTCCACAGAAGGAGGCTGCGTTTTCGTGCCGAGTAGGGTTGCACGGTGATTCATTTCCATCCTATGCTCATCAAACCTCCTGTGCTCTCTGAGCTGGCACGGGAGACTGCCCAATTGATTCAGAAGCATTTGAGACTGAAGGATCAAGCCAATTTACTCTTCTTTATCACTAAGACCTCTTAGGCACAGTTGAGCCAACCTTTTTCATCCCTTGCAGCTTTGGACCTGACCTTCTTCAGCCAGCGTGGCTGTGAGGCAGTGGATTGCCTGGACAGAAGCTGGCAGCTCTGTGTTGCATGTTCCAGCAGCTCCCAACACCAAATTCCCACGTCCTATCACTTGCTGCTTTACCAGTCCTGTGTGTTGTATCAAAAAATCCTGGCAGCCCCATTTCACATTCTCCCTGGCTGCACTAGGTCCAACCTGATGTCGCATTTAGGAAAAGTTACACTACCATCACTATTCACCCCTTTGTCAACCAGGATTCTGCTGTTTACAGCATTACATCATAAAATGACCTTTTCTGGACCGTTTTAGGAGATGTCTTTTTCCTTTTTCCTGTCCTGCTCTTAGATAGATTTGGGCACCCAAAACTTCTCCTTCCCTTTCCTTGCACTGATAGAGAGACATGGAAGATCAGGAAGATCCTTGCCTTCTGTATGGTTTAAAAGCTTTCTCCCATTGACTTGACTGTTTCCACACCCTTTCAGAGGGTAAAAGTGTCAGGGTTTTCCCTTTGTTGCTGGTGTCATTTTGATTTTAGATCCCTGGGCCACTGCTGTGGCCATGTCTGTAGAAACCAGCTGTGGGTTCAAGTCTCAGCATTTGCAAAGTGTTGAAGCACAGCTGGCCCATCCAGCCACACTGATACAGCAGCATGCAGAGGCTGCCAAAACAGCTCAGGTTAAAATAATATCCCCCCAAAAAACCTTTTATGCTGCGTTATTTCAGTGATCCAGCTTAGAGTGTGGTCCTGCAGGCAGGGAGGGAGGGGAAACAGGCCAGGCTGCAGCAGCCAGAGGAAAGGGAGCAGTCAGAAGAGGGGGAGAGCAGGAGGTGAGGAGCCCCCCAGCCTGGCTGTGCTGCTGAAGCCCCTCTGAGGCTCTGTCTCCAGTAAAAGCTGTCTCCAATCTCCTTGTGCTGACGTGAAGCACAGATAGACCAGGACTGAGGGGGAGGAGAGGGTCTCAGGAGTTCCCAAAGTTTGCAGGAAGGCAGAGAAGAGGCAGCCAAGTGTTGTATTCACTGTTCATGACTCCTGGACAGGGAGGAGGCAGTTCCCTGCGGCTCTGCTTCCAAATCTATCAATGCCAGCAGCAGCCTGGAGGCAGCCTGGCTGTCCTGAGCGAGTGTGACTCACTGCTACGCCACACAGCTGAGTTATTTGGGGTGGGTGGGCAGTATTTGTCACACTGTGCATGAGGGTTTGGCTATTTTAAGCAAGCACATAGGCTGTCTGGGACAACCTTTGCTGTACACACAGAGGTCTGACTTAAACTTACTGGAGCAAGATGAATGTGGCGAGGGCAAAAGCATTACATGCACAGAAGAAAGGCAAGACACTGCAGCAGTGCTAAGTAATGAGATTTATTGCAGTCGATGCCACACCAAGAGCTGAATGATTCTTAAACTTCATTCACAACTTGTCTAATAAGACCTATGATGTGTATTACAGTCTGGGACTGAGCATTTAAAAGTGCTCCCTTGACACGTGCACTACTTAAAGGAATACTCAAGTGATGAATTTGTTTTCCAGTGCTTGAGGGAGATTGAGTGTTCCCTTGCTCACACAAGAAGTCCCTGATCTTACTGCAGATGCAGAACAGACCCTGCTCTGCTGTGGTTCGGAAACAAGGGAGGGAGAAAATCTCAGTCTTGTAGCAGGGACTCTTTGACTTAATAAAGTGTTAATAATGAAGATTTGTCTTTCTCCAGGAAATAAAAAAAAACGATAAGAGGCAGAAGAAATGATGGATAGGAGGAATTGTCTAAACTTATGGAGTCAGCTACATAACTCCCACTACCCTGGGCTAAATACCCCAGCCTTAGAGGTTGGAGCCTCTATAAATGCAGGCAAGCCAAAATTCAAACACTATACTGATGACTTCTTGCCCCACAAGGAACCTTTCAAATTCTGATGGTAATGGATTCTACCTAAGTGTGAAAGAGAAACAGAATATACTAATTTTAATGCAAATGGATTTTTTTTCAGATGAAAGGTGTTGCCTAAAAAGTAGAGTGGCAGTGCTGTAAATATTCTGCTTGTGGTCCAATTACTTACCATTAACTACTGACATCTAGGCTTGCTGTTATAAAAAAATATATGCTTTTTTTTTCAATTAAGCAATGCTTTTACACTTCCAAGTCAACTTTTGTACTTTCAGTGCTACTGGAAATTCGAAAATTTGTGAAGTTCATCTGGGCACTCATTTTGTAAAGATCTTGAACTTTTCCTCTGAAACAGAGTAAAGCAATGGGGATTGATATGTTTCTTGTTTTCCTTTTTCCAACCTTTATTCACATAAAAAGCTCCCTGTACTGTCAGAGTATTGAGTTGTGCCAGTGTTTGTCAACAGAGGTGGATCAGAAACCCACAAATCATGGAACTGGAAAAGAAATGTGTCTTGTGTGTTGCTAATGAAGGAATTAATGTGGTTTTCTCTATAGACTGAGGTATCACTAGAGTAGGATCTCAACTGAAAATAAAAAGAGAAATGATGTTGCTTTCCAGGGTGTGTCCACTCTCTGAGGACAGATGTTATCAAGCACAGAAAGCCTTAAACCACTGTTCTGGCAATGGGGCTCTGGTCCTGGCTTTGCTTTGGATGATTTTAGGCAAGATGATGATACTCTGTGCCTTAGTTTCCTATTCTGTAAAAGGAAGATAATAATGTGCTCTCCTTTGATGTTTTGCCAGACTAAATGTTAAAAATTCAGTGCATGGGCTGCTGCTCCTCAAGAATTACTTCCCCTCCAGCTAGCTCAGATGTACCTTTTCGCCAGTTTGAATAAGAGCTAAAGAGGCAGGTAGGATCTAAGGTGCAGAGTCAGATGATTTCATCCTACCCCAAAAAAGCTTTAAATAAAACCCCCCCAATATATGCATCTGGTAATGAAAACTACTTGAACATGTGAACTAAATGTTGCTGTTAATATTGTAATTAAAGAGCTCTTGGGTGAACAACTGGTTAAGGTGGAAGGTTCATAACAGTTTCTGTTTCTTAGAATCACAGAATAGCTTGGGTTGGAAGGGACTTTAAGATCATCCAGTTCCAACTCACTGCCATGGGCAAGGACACCTTCCACTAGAATAAAATATTCTGCCTTGCAGAATTAAAAGAGGCAAAATCCATGTTCGTTACCAAGCTCAGTGCAGGACAGTGCATCCCTGTGGGAGCCTTCCTATAAGAAAGCTGGAAATGCAATCCTGGGGGGCCCAGAAGAGCAAAAGTCAGTGCTGCCTTCTGGTGGATGTGTGAAAAAGCCACAAGCACACCTTGGCAGAGCAGGGGGAGCACTTTTGGAAGGGTGAATTTTATTTTTTTTGAGATGCTTCTCTTTTGAAATTGGATTAGAATTGCTTTGGCTCCCAGGGAAAGGTTGAAGCCATTTTCTCACAGATGGCAAATGCCAAATCCTTTAGGAACACCATTTGCAAAAAGGTGTTGTAGTTGTCTCATGTAAGAGAAATGTTTTCATGATGGGTCCTTTTGCTGCTGCGTTAGTGATAAAGGAAGGTCACAGATAATTGTGTTCACTTTTTAAAGCACAATGTTGTTAAATCTTTTATATAGGGATAAAAGTTAAAAAAATGTCTAGTCTCCAGTAGAGACAGCTTCTCCCTAAACAGAGGGAATCCAGAATCAAGCAGAGACTGGAATTTTAAAGCTGATACTACAGATCTCTTCTGTTGCCCCTGGTAATTCAGAAAAGAAAAGAAACTGCCTATTTTTAATCTTACTCTCAGCAAGCCAGACCAAAAAGCCCAGGATTTACTATCGCACCTTGAAAAAAATGTGCCTTTACTAATCTCTGCTAATCCACAGGAAAGGTACTTGAAAATAATCACTATAACTAAGCTGCAACTTCTTTCAGCTTTGATTTCACAGATCAAACAGTGATCACTGTTACAAAAATGAAAAAGAAAAAGGAAAAGCTGCTGTTTTACTGAATCCTTATATTGTATAAACATCCAGGAGCTATTTTGGCTTTAATCTAATGGCTTCTTGATCTTTGAAGGTTTGGACAGCAGATGATACAATGCTTCAAAAATCTCCCTCAGATTTTCTTTGGAAGGACCTGGTGAGATTTAGGACAAGCCTTAACTGTGCTACCATTGTCTGTGAGCACAGTGGTCAAGTGAGTACCCTGAGAAAAATCACCACCTTAGTCCAGTGACAGACAGCCCTAATCACTGGATTTCCCTCAGAGATTTAGGATCATTTGGTTAAAGTCCTTGTAAAATCAAGCACAGCAAACCCAGCAGATCTATGATCACTGTGTTAACCTTGCTTCAGTGTGGATGTGAATTTTTAGGATCTGAAGGATAGAAGAAAAACAGTGGATTGATGACATCACTTGTTGACTGAAGGGCTGCCACCCTCACAGTGACTGAAGCTGGGGCTCCACAAGTGTGAATTACATCTTGTAACTGTTGAGTGAATGTTGACTTTTGGCCTCATCTTTTCACATTTACTCCTCTTCTAGCTCAGTTTGGCCATACTTGCTGTTACAACAGTGCCAGGAGATCAGAGGCTGAAAGGAAACTTGAGATGTGATTGCTCCTGGCTGTGGCCTGCCTGGGTAGTTCTGGAAGATCTTAAGAAACACAGACTCCATCGTGTCCCCAGGTCATCTGCTTTAGTGCCTCACTCTCTGTGTGCTTAGAAAAGCTTTCCTAGTGCCTAAATGGAATTTTTTCTGCCTCAGTTTTAGTCCTTTCCTTCCTGTCCTATCCACTGTGGACATGGAGAACAGGTTGCTTTTTCTTCCTTCAGCAACCTTTGACACACTTGCAGAAGTCCTGTCCTCTTTTCTCTCCTTCTTTGGCCAATTTAGTTAATTGGAGCTGCAGAATTTAAAGGGTATTAGATGATGAACCCACCTTAAATATATTTAAAGACTGGAAATGGATTTTGAAGTAAGAACTCTGGAATTTGTTGGTTGTGATTAGTATTTATCTTTCAAATGTTAAATAACTCAGAAATACATTGGAGTGCCTCCCCTTTCAGGCCTCCTTTGTTTGCCTACAGCAAACAATTTTCTTGATGAAAAAATGTAGAATATAAATAAGCTGTGATATGTTTTTTGGTTTTTTTCAGGCTATGGCTTGGTACACTCCTCTCTACTGGAACAGAAGACAAGGATGGGGGTGAAAGAGGAAAGTGAAACATTTGAGAATATTGTCATAAAACTTTCTCAAGGACTGAGCAAAAAGAAGGATGGGAAAATGAACAGGAATTTACAAGAACTGATTCAGAGTGAAAAAGAAACAAGAAAAAAAGACAAAGCTTCATTAAAAGGTATCTGACATTCATTATGTGTACTCTGTAATTGCAGCATCGTACCAGCCTTACTCTGTAAGTGAATGCTTTTAAATGAGCATCTTGTTGGAAAAGCTCTGCATTTAGAAAACAAGAATTAACCTTAACCTTCAAACAGGAATCCAGCCCAAATCTCCTTATAGGAGTGCACTCGTTGTCAGTCAAGACTAAGTAGGAAGTAAAACCCAAGTAAAATTCTTCTTAAAATGTGACTTTATTATTACGTATTATCCTTTGAGCCTGAAGTGTTTAGAGACCACAACCTGGAAAGCTTCCAGCCAAAAATGTTGATGTTCACAGAACTATTTACCTTCATCTTGAGAAGGGTGGACCCGAACTTGCTGTTCTCTCAGCCCACTGTGCTTTGATGCGGGGTAGGGACTGAAAACTAGTTGCTTCAGAACTGCCTTTTAGGCTTGGTATCAAACTTAGAATTGGTAAAAGTGTGGAAAAGGTGTGGGTCATTGGTTCAGCTTGGGCACCCAGGTCCCAGTCAGGAACACCAGAGCCGAGCCATTCACTGTTTTGAATAAGAAACACAATACTGGTGGTGTTTTCTAAGAAATATTTGTCACGGGGGCTTTGCAATGGAAAAAAAATGTATTTAAAAAGTAAAGAATTGGCCAATCTGAATATATTTTCACCAAAAAGGTGAGTGACCCTTCTCACGTTTGGAGTGGTTGCTCTTCTCTAAATTTCTTCTCCAGACTGTGGCTGGAGATGTTCAGAAGATAAACAGTTTTCAGCATAGGTTACACTGGCTGTTCTTCACAAACTTTGTTCTTAAAAATGGCTAAATCACTTTTGCTCAAACTCTCCAAAGAAACTAAGTCAGAAGGAGGGAGAAATTATGTAAAAATTCAGTGCAAAGAGTTCGAGTCTGGCAGAATTATAACCAAAGGCAAATGGTAAATTATAAGGTGATATGTCAAATTATGTAGAAGTTGCAGTTATTCTACCTAGAACTAAATGCAAAATGCATCAAATATATGTGTGCTGTTTGTTAGGTGTATTGCATAAATTTAATGTATGTGTGCAGGAACCACTGCAAATTTATGCAAAAGATATGAATAAATATGCTAATGCAATACAAGAAATAATGCAGTAATATATAAAATATACATATTTTTTATAACTTGTGCACATATATGCATGTGCAAAATATGTGAAATACACACAGTAAATTGAATTGAATTTCTGTTTACAGGAGGAAAAAATAGACTTTTACATCCCTTTTCCCTAATCAAAGTGCCTGGTGCCAAAGTTAAGTGTCTCCCACTGAACCCTCACTTTTCCCATTGATGGGAATGATGGCAGCAGTTTTTCAAGTCATCAAGGCCTGACCCTGTGCCAGGTGAGTTCTCTCTGTCCCCCTCCCTCAACACATTTATTTATTCGTAAATTATTTATATTTGCTACTGCAAGAATATATTATGTACATTATAAAGCATGCACACAAATAGGTATTTCAAAGGAGGAGATAAATATTCAAAAATACTATTTTAAAATATTTTAAAAATCAATTATATTTATTAATATTAAAAAAGTATTTTCTTCCTGAGTGTCAGTAGATTGCCTTGCGCTTCCCCTGGAAGACCACTGCTCTAAGTGACTCTTGTCACTAATACTGGTGTATTTAGGAAATTAAACAAAATATTATGAATTGGTAAGAAAAGGAGACTTACATTGGCTGTGAATTGTTAATTAGGCAGTAATGAGAAAATCAGTGTGTAACTTGGATATGTCAAACCCACAAAGCTGTTGACATCCTGGAAGGACTCAGGGGAGGAGGACAGAGCGAAAAAGTGCCCAAAGAGACTGATTAAGATTAAAAAAAGTAAAATGTGTGTTGGACAAACAAGGTGATCATTGTGTGAGGGGGTTCAGGCATCACAGCAAGAGGGGAAGCAGTCTTAGATCCAGGAAACAGAACTAAAGGGAGTAGAACCAAGTGAAACATAGGAAGGTTGAGGTTGAACAGGTAAATAAAAATGAGTTTCAGTGATCTATAATATAGTCTTCCATTTGTACTCATTGTTCCATTTAGTATTTTAAACCACTGGCAAGGTTTAAGTGCCCAGCTGCCATTAATTTTAAAGGAACTGGGTATCCAGCTCCTGAATCCAGCTTTGAAGCACTCTTTAGTGGACACTTAAACCAGACTGGTGAATTAATTTGAAGATACCCAGGAGGTCACTCTGTGACTGGCATGGATATGTGACTATGCAGTTAGCAGGAATTTTCCCCATTTCTGGGAGTGCCAGCCTAGGAAAAGCCTTTCAGCTTGAGACAGGAAAGTGTTTATGCATCTACTTCTCTTTAACACACAAACAGTAATTTAGCAACCAGGGAGGAGTGTCAGGGAGATCTTTCTCAACTGTTAAATCCAGGCAAAGCAGAAAGCTGGAGATGGACTTCTTGTAGGGGCAGGTAGTGGTAGGACAAGGGGGAACGGTTTCAAACTGAAAGAGGGTGTGTTTAGGTGGGATATCAGGAAGAATTTTCTCCCTGTGGGGGTGGGGAGGCCCTGGCACAGGTTGCCCAGAGAAGCTGTGGCTGCCCCATCCCTGGAAGTGTCCAAGGCCAGGTTGGATGGGGCTCTGAGCAACCTGGGCTAGTGGAAGGTGTCCCTGCCTGTGGCAGGGGTGGTGGAACGAGATGATCTTTGAGGTCACTTCCAACCCAAACCATTCTGTGATTCCAAGATTCAAACCCGATGCAATCAGTTGTAGTGGATCTGATTTCGCGGTTTGTTTCCTGCTCTGTCTGAATCATTGGTAGCATCAGGTACTGGGTGTCTATTTTGTGTAGTCCTGGTTTGTCTCATTTGCTAAAGCTTATTTGGTCTTGTTGTGTGTCACTCTGCTCTTCTGCAGAGCTGGGTCCCCCATACCTGTTCTGATAGTTTCCTGGACAGGGAAAAGCTGGGGACAGAGAGGAATTGGCACCTGGGAGTGCTGGTTGCGACGTGGCAGAGAGAGGCCGTGCCTGCAGATTTGTTTCCTGAGTGTGGGAACTTTGAAGGCAGAACTCAGAGCAAGGTGGTCTGTCACACACTAAATACATCTGATTTCTGTAGGTTTTCACATGCAACCCACATACCCTCAGTCTCTCTTTCTCAGATCTTTGCAAAAGATAATTCAGCTCAATTTACTTACGGTTCATTTGCAGTTCTTTTCACTACTGAATTATGAAATTATTCCTCTTAATACTGCCAGGAGAGTTAATAATACCCAAGATATCAGATTAAAAATTAAATAAGGGTATAACCATTATTTTACTCTCATAAATATTCGTGTGTGGTACACATTACTGCTGGATTTTTCCAGAACTGAATACACAGAGATACAAACATCATTCTTATTTTATTACAACCCAAAAATTACAAGTGCTTTAGGCAGATTTGTACAAGCCTGCCACTAGATATTATTACAGATGGTGGTGAAATGATGATTTTCAAATATACAATGGAATGATGATTTTGAACCATATGACTACTTTCTTTTTTTCCCCTCTCTTGATTTTTCTTTCTTTGATTAAAGTTTTTAACTAACAGGTTCATAACTGGTGTGAACAACTGGGGTCCACAGTAGTTGCAGTCTTGCTTAGGTCCTGGTCCAAGAAAGCTTCCCTATTCAGCAACTTGTTCATAAATGCTTCATAATATCAGCAGCTTACAGAAAGCAGTATTGATAACTTGGTTTCCTCTGCAAGCACACTTTTAATCACTGTTACCTTTAAATAAGGATACTTACCTCGTGCCACATTACAGTGAAGTTAGGTCAATGTCTTTGAGTTGAATTAGCAATTCAAAGTATTTTCGCATTTTCCTCTCAGATGCTTAATTTGGCTTTTCAAAATCAGTTTAACATACGCTTGTATTTCAGAAGCCCACTCAAACTGCAGAGATGATACTGTTTGATCACATTTGCTTCTTAGCTTTGAGTATTTAGCTTCTCATACATCTGTTGTACCCTTTCTAGCTCCCAGCTCTCCTCTATAATAGTCAAACATTATCTTTCCAGTCTCCTTTTGTCGTATCTTAAGTTACCTTCAAGTGGTGTTTCACTTCATTCTTCATTATCTTTAAATTATAGGGTTTTTTATTCATTGTAGAACTGTCTGTTTGGTTTCCTCTTCACCCAAGCAGCCTCATTTTCTTCTCAGACTGAGGGATAAGAGGGGAAAACCCCCTGCTACTGTCATAGATCACAAAGTTAGAGCTGAGCTCCCACCTCCTGTTTTCCTCAGAAATGCATCACTCTGGCGATGTTTCTTTTCTGTTGTTGTTATGAATTTCACTCATAATCAAAATGCTCAGCTGTGAATTTTGTAAGGGCTTTAAAAATAACCGTGGAGTGATGGTGAAGTGAGCACTTTGAAGCCTCAGCCAAAACCAGTGAGTTTTGTCAATCAGAATGTTTCCCCGTTGCTAAGGAAACCTAATTAGGCTTTCAGTGGTAAATTGAACCTGCAGACAAGGAACATATTTAGCCCACATTTACAGTGAAAAGGAGCCAATTCCTGGCACTGTCTTCACTAGTAAATGCATCAAGCCTGAGAGCTTTCTGTTCTTTCCACTGGTTCTCATGGGGTTTGTCCCAGAAGTTGAGAATGAGATGCACTCATATCATGGTGTGTTTGCTCTCTTGACTTGCCCCAAGCACTTGACTTCCATAGTTTATGGAACTGCCCTGTAATTTCCAGAAACGTTTGCAGATCCATCTCTTCTACCCTTGGACATGGACATATTACAGGCAAGACTGAGCAATAACATTGGCCACTATAAATGATGTTGTACAAACACACAGATGCAGTTTTTGAGTAGCAGGAGGTCAAACACGATGTAACAGTGATATCCCATGATAAGAAACTAAGTCAACTGCTTTCTGTAGTAGATCAATCGATGAGTGTGGATCAATTAACTGTTGCTAAGACACAAGGCAAAAGCTCCTCAGCTTGCCCATTGCAGTGTCATTCCCTCTGGCTGACACTCAGGTGCCCCAGGAGACTGTACCTTTGAGTGTGTTTAGGTACCCTCTGCCAGCCTAAGGTGTTCTGTAGCCTTCAAAACCTTAAAATAACTTCGGTTTCTTGCTGGATGCAGATCAATATCTGGAATTTCGAGGCTTTGTGGTGCTAAGGAAGAGGGTGATCCAGTAAAGGCGACCAGTAGGGTGACAGAAAGTTATCAAAATACCCAACCTTTGCTTGTCAGGTAGCAAATGCTGTACTATCACATGGGACTTCTGGTTTCTTTATTGCTGCTTTCTCAGCCATGACACCTTGTGACCTGACACTGTGATTCCCTATCTGCCAGGCAGATGAAAAATCAAAAATTATTTTCTTACCTATTTGTTGTTTGCCACTTAGACAACAACGATGTAATGTGCATTGAAGTATTTTTGTTTCAGGAAACAAAACCTGCACGTTATTCTGATCTAGAATTTTGGAGAAGGAGAAAAACTGCAGGAGGTCAAACCTCTTGCTGAGGAGGAAAATCAAGGGGATAAATAATAATTGTATGTGGCAATATAAACAAGCAAATAACTCACCTCCTTCCATCATGGTCAAGTAAATTACATTATGGATACCTCAGTGCCAACAAAAACAAGTCAAAGATGTAACTGTGGTTTTGTGGAGCGAGAGAGGAGGCAGGGTTTGATAAGAGGCTTTCCAAAGACTTTATGGAACCCAAATACCTCTCCCACCTTTGTGGGTGACCAGAAGTGACGGCAGGTGATTGTTGTGGGGAAATTGTGGTTGCAGCTGTGAAAAAGCAGTTCTGTCCTGAATAATTTTGGCAGAGCATCCTGACCTTCAAAAAGCCATGACTAAGGATGGCCCTTTATCTTCTTGTCTCCCATTACAGCACACTGCCTGTGACCAAGTCACTTAATGGGGTGGTAAAATGAAGTCCAGAGATTGCTCACATGTCTTAACAATACCCAGCTCTTATGAAATCTCCAAGTGGACTTGCTTAAAGGTGGTGCTGATGTCAGTAGAGACGTGGAGTAACTTAAGAGATGATTCTATGGTAAAAGTATGTCCAGGGCTGAGATTAGGTCTGGACACAGTTCATGGAACTGACAGAAATCCGGGGTCATGGAGTGAAAAAGCTTTTTCCCTCCCAGCCGGGAATTTATGGAGAACTGCAGACAGTGAAAAGAAGGAGCCAAAGCCATGAGGATTTTTCCAGTGAGACTTGTGTAGATGGTGTAAGGCAGATAGTCTGAAAGCACCAACTAGAGGGAAAGAGAGAGGAGAAAAATGACATGATCTCCATTCAGAGGGTGATAAACTTTCGGAGAAGCACGTGCAGTTCATGGGCAGCCACCTGTGATTTTGGCCAACCAATGCTTGCTGAAATCCAATTCAACCAAAAGTCTGCAAGGGAGAGTTTGATCCTTTAAAGTAAAGGTCTCTTAGTGACAACCAGTGACCTCGTGATTTTATATTCATCCTGACGTGGCGTTTGTTTAAAATGTTCTGCCAGAAAGTCAGAAGAAACAGAGTGTTTTTGTTGTAGCGTGTTTGATTCCTAAATTGACTTTCTTTTCAAGGTAGCTGTGTGGAAATAATGACTGTTGTCATCAACATGAAGGAACTAGCCAGAAGTAAAATCCTTCAGCTCCCAGCTGTGTGAGTGGGAAAGGCAGAAGGAGGCCTACTCAGTCAGCAGGAGTGAGTAGAGTTTTCAAACAGTTTTCAAAACAAACAAACAACCAAAGAAAAAAGGTAGAGCTTAAACCCCCTACAATTCAAAACACAAGAATTACTTTATTTTGTTGAAAATCCTCTTGGTCTTCTTTCTGTGAGAAAGACCTGCGCCAGACCACAAATGGAAAGCATCTGGATTCGGGCATTGCAACTTGAGTACAGCTGGACACATCTCATTCTAGAGAACTTCTTGTTTACATCTTAGGTTTGCTTTAATCTGGAATCTACTTACAGTGTTCCTTCCAGGAAAAAGAAGGTTTAAATGCACACTCAGATGCATTTTTTTTATCTACTGAAGACTCCATTGCACGCACTACCCTACCTAAAGACCCAGAATCATGTGAAGCTTTCACATGTAAATATGTAGACACTCAAACTTGAGTTGTTGCAAGTTCCTCTTTCCACCTCCTTGATTTCTAGATTCTTCCCTGGGAGCTGTTTCTTTGATTTTACTTAATATCAGTTCCACAATTCGCTGTCATGCAGAATATTTTGTTTATATCTGTACTGCAAAATATCATTAGATATTCAGATATCGGGAAACATTATTCCAAACTCTTATTTTACTTTTTAAGTTCTGTTACAAAAAGGCCTAAGAATTATGGGGTTTGTCCATCAAACTACTGATATATACAACTGATTATAATAATTATAATAATTAATTTGTGCAATATGTATTGATGTTGCTTACAGTGTTTAGGGTTCTCCAAAGTACTTTATATATTTTCATCTATCTATATATATGTATAAGAAGAAAAAGATTAATCAGCCTATCACATCAGGTAGAAATAGAGAAGCAAACAAACTGGAGGATTATTGTTTGTGCCTGTCTGCTCACTGTATACATGAAGTGGGGCTTTTTGCCCAGGTACAGACTTTTTCATCTTTGTCTTATGCAAAATCATAGTAATAGCACTTCTCTCCCGGGGGCAGTATGAGTCAACAGTGTTTGTAAAAACCTTTTCTATCTTTAGCTGAGAGGCACTTTGGAAGTGCAGTGAATTGGTGTTTTTCTCAGTGACACTGGATTGAATGCTTTCTAATTAAGAATTCCACGGTTTCAGAGAAACTTGATGAATTAAAATGACCTCAGGAAAACCATGGCCAAGTCATTTGCTTTCTGGTCTCTAGGTTTGTTACATGATAGTCAGGGCTTAGTGGAAGTATTGCAACAGCCAAAAAACCCCATACAACATTTTAGAGCTTTATGAGGAGGAAGCCCTTAACACCGTGTGCTCAGTGTTGGTTCACACTGTGGAAA